TGAGGTCTCGCTGCCCAGGCAGGTCTCAAACCCGCGGGCTCAGACAATCCACTCACCTCAACCTCCCAAAGGTGCAGGATTACAGGCTGAGCCACCAAGCCCGACCTTTTTTTTTTTTTTTCCAGAGACAGTGTCTCACTATGTTGTCCAGGCCCAAGCAATCCTCCCACTTCAGACTCCCAAAGTACTAGGATTACAGGCACAAGCCACCACGCCCAACCATGGGGGTGGACTTTTAAATTCTCTTTTTTGTATATCATGTTTTGGTTTTGGTATAATGTTATTTGGTTTCTCCCAATAACAATATTTTGGGGGAAAGTGTTGGGGGAAGAAAGGTAATTTTTTTCATCTGCTTTAAGAAGGAGAGAAGGAATGAGGGTCCCAGCAAGGCTCCTGGGCCTGCCAGGAACCGTCAGCTGGGCCTTCCGGCCCGGGATTAGCCCACAGACACCCACCTCTGTCCAGCCAGGGGCGTAAGCAGAGGCTAGGCCTGCCAGCAGTGTGTCCTCTGGAGTCACATTTGAGAGCTGGGGTCAGGGTGCTCACAGAGTCACGAAGGTTACCTGGAGGGGTCAGAGATCATTTATTCATTAACTCATAAGCAGGGCGGCATTCCAGGTGGTAAGGATAGGTCCCTGGGAAAGACAGACAAAGCCCCCGCCCTCTTGTAGCTCAGTGGGGACACAGAGAACAAACAAAGACAGGAAAAACAGAATGCAAGGAAGGGGTAATGACGCGGGGTCCCCACATTAGACAGAAACACTGAGTTCCTTCCCACAGGACAGAGGCTTAGAGTGAGAGACCTGGACAGGAAGTCAGCAGTCTGGGGGCCGTCACCTTGGCCCCTGCTTGGCTGGGTGACTTTGCTTCAGACACTGCCCTCTAGGCTTCAGTTTCTTTCATCTGTGAGATGACCCAGGAAATCTCAAGATTCAGTCTACATGCTCCAGGGCCCCAAGATTTCCTTTTGTCTATTCTTGAAGAAGGAAACGGGGGGTAGAGAAAATGGAGCTTACAGATGGGTGTGCCTGCCACTGGGCACAACAGAAACAAGTGTTCACAAACTGCGAGCTGTCATCATACCGCTGCTCTCCACTCCAGCCTGGATGACAGAGTGAGAATCCCTGTCTAAAAAAAATAAAAATAAAAATGGGAACAGAGTTTGAAAACTGGGACAACAGAAAAGTGGCACTTACATTTTTGTCACTTTGACCTCGCCTGGCATTGATGATAATAAGCTAACATTTCTTTTCTTTCCTTCTTCCCTCCCCTCCCCTCTTTGTCTTTCTTCCTTCCTTCCTTCCTTCCTTCCTTCCTTCCTTCCTTCCTTCCTTCCTTTCTTTCTTTCTTTTCTCTCTCTCTCTCCCTTCTTCCGTCTTTCTTTCTTTCTTTCTTTTCTCCCTCCCTCCTTCCTTCCTTCCTTCCTTCCTTCCTTTCTTTCTTTCTTTCTTTTCTCTCTTTCTCTCTCCCTTCTTCCGTCTTTCTTTCTTTTCTCCCTCCCTCCTTCCTTCTTCCTTCCTTCCTTCCTTCCTTTCTTTCTTGTCAGAATCTCACTCTGTTGCCCAGCCTAGAGAGCAATGGCACAATCAAGGCTCACTGAAGTCTCTATCTCCCAGAAAACATTTGTTGAACTTTTTTTTTCCATCTCTACAAAAAAATCTAAAAATTAACCAGACTTGGTGGTGTACACCTGTACTCCCAACTACTTAGGAAGCTGAGGTAGAAGGATTGCTTGAGTTGTTCGACAAATGTTTTCTGGGTGTGGGCTCTGTGAACTCAAGCAATCCTTCTACCTCAGTTTCCTAAGTAGTTGGGAGTACAGGTGTACACCACCAAGTCTGGTTAATTTTTAGATTTTTTTTTTTTTTT